TTGTGGTGGTGGTGTGTGTGTGTGTGTGTGTGTGTGTGTGTGTGTGTTTGGCTTTTGCCCTCCCAACTTTTCCAGATTTTACCCGTCAGATTCCTGGCAGCTGTGCACGGCGCCTGTGCCGGCCGTCACGTCCCATTCTGATCTCTGGGTCGCACGGTGAGAGAAGGACACAGGATGCGCAGGGAGTGAGAAAGTGATGTCGGCGGGGAGAGTGCCAAGTCCCCACTCACAGCCACGGGACACTTGGGGAGCAGGGGAAGCATGCTGCTGTGGAGTTCAGAGGCCGGTAGTGAGATTTATTTTTGTTTGGATGAGTAAAAAGCTGCAGAAGCCTCTGATGGGGGGAAAGGGGGGAACAATCGGAATGCTGTGATTCAGACAGAAGGGGCCTGGCCTGGAGTCAAGCGTGCTGACCCGGAAGGAGAGTTCCATAGGAACCCTTCTGGCTGCGGCGAAGATTGGCCCCTGGACAGTGTACTGGGAACGCAAGGAAAGCATGACCACTCAGAATCAGACTGGTGACAGTGAGGAACAAGTCAGCATAAAGTGGGGAAGAAAAAAGAATTCTGTTTCTGGAAGGTGCTAAGGAACCAGTTTTCTCTGAGCCATGGGAGTTCCCTAGAGCAGGCTGGTGGAGAACGGGAAAGAGATCATACACACAAACACACAAAGGGGAAGCTAATGGGCTTGCATCCCCAGGAAGGGCTCTTTTACAGGTTAAGTTCCTTCTTCCATACAGTGGGGATGCTTTTATTAGGTTGACCCACTAAAAACTGAGACACTGAGAATTACAAATAAAAGCAATGCAACTTCTGACACAGGAACTGTGGAACTTGGGGAACCCAGGTCATGAAGCAGCCAGACCAGAACAAGGCCTTCCCTCAGCTTAGGGGCTCGACAAGAGTGTGGCTGCTGTGTTCTGCAGGGTGAGGAAATCATTTGTCTCTGGGCCTCTTTGGCCAGAGCAATGTCTTCACCAGAAATCACAAGTTTTGCATTTCCATATCTACCTTATACAAAAAAAATACCTAATCAAGTGCCTAACAAATACATATTTTTTCCTTTATTGTCAGAAGGAACATGTGCTGGGACCAGCAGTTAGTGTAATGGCTATGTTGCTGGACTCCCATGTAGTCAGCCGTGGTTTGCGTCCCAGACCCGGTGGCTTAGACTCACACCGGGCACGCGTGCGTGCCTGCCCAAGATCCTGAGAGGAGAATGGAGGAGAAGGGACTGCAGCGTGGCCATCCCCCTTGGGGGGTGATTTCTTGCTTTCTGTCTCTCTCTTTCTGGTGAGCGTGCGCTCGCCAAACCTCTACAAAAAAAAAAAAAAAAAAAAAAAAAAAAAAAAGAAAAGAAAAGAAAAGAAAAGAAAAAAGGAACATGTGCTTGCCAAAGAGACATAGAAAGGAAAAATGCCCTCCAACAGGGCGCAGTGATGCTGCAATCCTTCCTCCTTCATTCCTCTCTGCTATCAGGATTCTAGGCATGCATGTACATGTGCCTGGAGTGTTTTTCAAGCCTCCAGAGTTGGGATCAGAACCACTGTCAGTCATGTGAGATCCAGTTCCCTTGACTGTTGAGCTATGAGACCAGTCCCGACATGTATTTTGAATTTTTAAAAAATTTTTGCCATGGGGTGTGTGTGTGCTTGCTGGACAGGGACAGGGACAGAGAGAGAGAGAGAGAGACAGACAGACAGACAGACAGACACACAGAGAGATGAAATCACCCCCTGGGGGGATGGCCACATGT